ACGTTGTGGAACATTAGACGCACTCCTAGGAATTGTCCACCTTCATAACTATTTGGTGCGACCAGCGAGGTCCAGAGGCTTCACTGAAAAGGAGTGGAAGAAACAGATGGCATAAGGACGGGGTAAAGGGGAGAGGGAGGATGTACAAAGGATGCCAGAAGACGGTAAACAAGTGCAGTCAAAGGGGATTTGCAGGTTCCCAGAGGCTGCCGGGCAACTGGAGTGAATCTGCAGGCAAAGCGATGGCTGCCACTGCTCTGAATGAACCTCTTGTCCCTGCTGTGATGGAGGCTGGTGGTCCCCAGAGTCGGTGGTAGTCACCCTCAGGAGGTGCACAAGATATGCCATTGCAAATGTCCCACGAACAGAGTCTATATTTTTATTTAAGGAGCCCTGGTAGTACAGTGAGGAGCTCTGGTGGCGTAGTGCCTAAGGCGTTTGACGGCTAACCAGAAGGCTGGAGGTTCAAGCCCACCAGGCACTCCTCAAAAGGAAGACTGGGGCAATGTACTTCTGTAGTGATAGCGCCTCAGAAACCCAAAGATGGGTTGCTATGAGTAGGAACTGACTCCACGGCAGTTGAGTTTGGTTTGGTTTTTGGTGGTACAGTGAGCAGTTCTGGTGGCACATGGCTAAGGCATTCGGCTGTTAACCAAAAGGTGGATGGTTGGAACCCAACAGCTGCTGTGTGGGAGAAAGATGTGGCAGTCTGCTTCCTTAAAGACTGACATCCTTGGAACACATATGGGGCAGTTGTAGTCTGTCCTATAGGGTGGCTGGTGTTGGAACCGACTCCATTGGCAGTGGGTTTTTTTGTTTTTTGTTGTTGCTGGAACAGTGGTTAAGCCCTGGGCTGCTAATCCAAAGGTCAGTGGTTTGAATCCACCAGCAGCTATGTGGGAGAAAGACACGACAGTCTGCTTTTGTAAAGATCACAGCCTTGGAAATCCTATGGGGCACACTTTGCCCTACAGGGTCCCTGTGAGTCCGAATCAACTCTGGCAATGGGTTGGGTTTTCTGTTATTTAATCTATCAACATGTGTATTGTTTTTACTCAGTTGACATTAGTTCTGCCTGCACTATATAAACGTGAGCGCACTGTGGGCGATGAAAACATTCAGAGGCACGGCTCTACAGCGCTCCACAGCCGTCTGTGTGCACTGATCCTGGAATAGCCCTCACAAATCTGGCTGAGGGCTCCTGAGGGAAGCAGGCTGTACTTGGATCTGGGGCAGGTAAGAGGCCCGACGTAGCCACATCCTGTGGCTGAAGACCACTGTTTAGAAAATGGCGTCGGGGATGGGGTGAAGTGGCCCCCGGGAGGGGGAAGGGGGTCACTCAGGGGCCATACCTGTAACTAAAAGGCAAGCCATGCTCTAGGAAAGGGAAACCTAAAAGCCACCAGTTCTAGTCTACGTCAGGGATCAAGGTCAAGTGCGCTGTCAGAAGACAAGCCCTGTTACTGTCAATCATTTCAGCCTTCCCTGAAAAGCCAGTGTCCTGGCGAGATGTCTGGCATGAGGGGATTTGGTGGCCTTCTCTGTAGGCAAATGGATTAGTCATCTGCCCTGGAAGAGAAAGACGAAGGGCTCCACATATTAGGCAAGGATGGCCAGTTCCAAAAGAGAAGTCACCTGGACTGAAGGGGCCGACGGAACAAACACTACCAAGAGCTGAAACATCAAGACGTACTTCAGGACTCAGATGGAAGGCCCGCCCCTACGCTATGCACAGGGTCAGAGCAGTGACCCCGAGGGACATGCCTGCCCCTCCAGGGCCATTACCACAAGGCATGCTCGGGAGGCGTATGCCCGGCCAGCACATTGGTGGGGTGTGTCCGGAATCCACAGGCAAGTGTCCCAACTGCCGTTATTTCGGCCTGCCTGGCTTCTCCATCTTGCCCCGTGGACCCACCCTTCTCCACTGTCAGTGCTTGTGGTTTACATGAAGACCCCAGCCCTGGCCCCTAGGGTGGGCCCGTGCCCAGGTCTAACCAATACAGCCCCAGAGATTGATGCAAAACTAAGCCCATCATCCAACCCTGACCAACGAGTGAGTCCGGGCTGGTACTGGCTTCCTGTTGGGGTTGCTCCTGCCACCCATTGGAGACAGTGCGCTTGAGAAGGAAGCCAACACAGAGAACAGAGCCCATGTCCCAGTGACGTTGCTGAGAGCTGGACTTGCCCCTGGGCTTTTGGATGGAAGCAGCCCGGGACGTCCTTCCACACGTCAGGAGTGTGGTGGGGCAGGCGATGTAGACTAGGAGCTGGGAGGAGGGACAGAGGGGTCGTCACACTCCTCTCTCTCCACTTGTATGTGCTTGAAATTTCCCAACGCACAACAGCTTAGAAGATGAATCCACACAGGGCTTGGAAAGTGTCAACTTTTACTATCATCAGTTCCGGACAAGCCACCGGTCCCCTCTCCTTGCCTTCTTCCTTGACCCTCCTGAAGTACGAACGTCACTCCCTCCCTCCCAGGCTGCTCACTGGTCTCCTGCTTGCCTGCTCCGTACGGTTTCTTGCGGCTCTGTCTGCATTCTGCTTGCTCCTGGGTATGGACAGCAGTTAACACCCCCAGAAGAGGGGGTGCTCAGACACGGCTGCCTCCGGGGCACCTGACACCTCCAATTCACGCGGTGTCACCAAGCCCTGCGGTGCTCCTCACTTGGGACGTGACACGGCCACCCAGACGTTCTCTGACCGTGGCAGCTTCATCTTCATCAGCCTGGTCTTGTACTCCAGCAAGACTCCAAGTTCCTTGCTGGGTCAAGTTGCTAATTCTGGCCGTGGCAGCAGATCTCTGGGAAGGGAGTCAGGATGTGCATCTACGAGAGATGCTAACTGGGCAGCGTGCCAGCCCTTCTGCGTGCTCTGGTCAAAAGTGTCCAACAGGCCAGTGCTGAGAGTGCTTTCCGTCCCTGTCCGTTCCCCACAGGGCCTGTGCTGGGTCAGAGGGCAGAGCCATCGCTCCTTACAAGGTACACAGCAGGGAAGCCACTCTGTTCATTGCCTCAGTCATGTCTCAGCCACAAATGGCCTTGTTACTGGCAGGAGCCCAGAGACAAAGGCTGTCTAATAAGGTGATGGGAGGTTGGCTTAAGCTTCAGGGACCACCATCCCTACTTCCCTAGTCACCGATCTCTGGCTCTCAGTCCCCCGGAGGCCAGGGGCACCCCAACTCTCACAGATGACAACACCTGAAAGCACTTTGTTCCGTTTGGAGCCATCCATTTATTGCGAGGTCACCTAAAAGGCAGCCCCTCACAGACCACAGGGGCAGCCACTGCTGCCATGGAGACTGTGCTCAGGTCTCGGCCACCTTGCTGCCCCTGCCGGCCTGGCTCGAGGCGGCCGAGGCTGCCCAGCTGAGCTACCTCAAAGTGGTCACAGTGAACCAGGGCTACCCCGGCGGAGCGGGCGGTCCAGGAGGGGGCGAGCTGGGGAAGACGGACCGGCGGGGCGCTGCCGGCGGGGCCCCTGGAGACCGGCAGGGGATGCGGAAGTCAAAGCTGCTCTACGGAGAAGGCAGGCCTGAGGGCGGCTGGCTGCCCGTGAGAAGCAGCATCAGGACAAGGACGGGCGTCCCCGAGGTCCCGTGACAAAGTGCGGCAGGGCCGGTCCCTGCAAGCCCCACCACCTCAAGGCCACACCCGAGTCACCACCACGGAGCTCCAGCGTGTCGTGGCGAGAGTGCTCTTGGACAGGAGCGGGGCACGGGCCCTGCGCTGGCACCATCTTCTCGCCCGGGCGGCAGGCAGCGTGCACCCCTCGCTAGCCAGCTGCGTTCCTTCGCGGGACGCAGCCTTCCATCTCGAGCGCCTCAGGCCAGCCCTCGTACTTATTGGTGTGCCTGCTGTTCTTGACATGCTGCCAATGGTGCGGAAGCAGGGGGTCAGAGCCTCGGCCCTGACCGGCCTCCGGGCTGGCCCCCCAGGGGCGGGGCTGAGGTGGCCCAGGCCAGCTTCTCACAGCCCCTTGCGCCGCTTTACCCATGAGACCAACGGCAGGGCTTGCCCTGGCCCGTGCCCTCCGAGGTGTGAGGAGGCAGCTGGTGTCACTGTGCCTGGCCAGCAACGGGAGGCAGGCAGGGGGCAGGGGAGGTCACTGCTGGAAGCTGCTAGAAGAAGGGGCTTTCTTCTCCGAGCTGCTCTCAGCAGAAAGCTGCCAGGAACAGGGCTTTAGGGTGGCCTGGCTGCCAAGAGGCTTTCTGGTGGGAGACCTGCCTGTGGGCCTGCCCCCACACTGTGAGCCCTCCAGAGCAAGGACCAGGCTTGGGGCTCTCCTCCCCAGCCCCAGCTGTTAGCACAGAGCCCGACACACGTGGCCTGAGGAAGAGTCACCACAGGGGACAGCCAGGGCTGGTGGAAGAAGAGTATACAGGGAGCACTGGGGTCCTGGGTTTTGGGGGACAGTCATTAAAGCATTGCTGCTAACCAGAAGGTTAGCAGTTCAAACCCACCAGCCACTCCTTGGGAGAAAGATGAGACAGTTGGCGTCTGTGAAGACTGACAGCCTTGGAAACCCTGTGGGGCAGTTCTACTCTGTCCTCTAGGGCCGCTGTGAGTAGGAATGTATTCCACAGCAGTGGGTTTGGTGTGGGCTTTGCTTCTGTGAAGATTGACAGCCTTGGAGACCCTGTGGGGCAGTTCCACTCTGTCCTCTAGGGGCGCTGGGAGTGGGACTCGATTCCATGGCAGGGGGTCGGGATGGGACAGGGCATCTTGAAGACACTTGGGAGGAAGGGCAGGGGCCTTCAGCTAACACAGCTACCAGTGTGAAGGCGTTACCATTTTCAGGCCCTTTAGGGTGAAACACACATGACAGGGAAGGGCAGGGTCACTCTCCTGACCCGGACAGACAGCCAAGCGCCCAGAGTCCTGCTGGAGAATTCGGGGCACTGGTGGCATCAGAGGACGGGACCACACAGGGTGCCCAGGGGGTGCTGGGGCTGGGCTCGCCATCCGTACCTGCTCAAAGGGGCTCTTGTCTTGCACGCCCTTGGCCCCCACGAACACCCAGCTGTCACGGAAGGCCAGCTCCCTGGCACTGCGGCTGCCCAGCTCACCAAAAAGCCTCCTGGTCTCCTCGTTCATCCTGTCGCCACAGAAGAGGGCAATGGCGTCTCGGCTGGGCCAGGCACGGCAGAGGCTGGCCTGGTGTGGTGGTTATGTTTGTGCGTCAACTTGGCTGGGCCTGGTT